CATATAAAATATCATAATGGAAATAACGATATTTATAACTGAACAAAAAAAGAAGTGCCATGTGTGAAAACTCATGAAATATATCAAAGTCATATTTAAAGTATTGTTTTATAGACATTAGAAAGGAAAAACTGGGTATTAATTGACATATGATATAATTCAAAAAATTACATAGGCAGGGGCAGGGAGTAAACCAAAAGAAATTTGGAAGAAATACTAAAGGACAAAAGTTAATGTAACAATTCAATAAAATCAAAAATTGGTTCCTTTAAAACACTGATCAAATATAACAAAGACATAAGTAACAAAATTAGGAATTAAGTGGAGTAAAATAATTCTACATAGAGATTTAAAGAATAATTAGAGGATGCAATGAATAATTCTATGACAGAAATTTGAAAATAAAATGAATAATTTCCTAGAGAAATTAAACAAAGCTATTCTAGAAAAATATAAAAATCAACCTATAGCAATTAAGAAAATTCATACATTTATTCATTCAACAAATATTTACCAAGTTGTACCTGGCATAGGAAGACACTGCAGATGCAGCAGAGAACAAAAAAACCCAGAAGTCTGTTTCCATGGAGTTTCCTTTCCATTGGTGGGAAACAGATGATAAATAAATACACTCTATGGGGGTGATTATAATTCTATGAAGAATGAGGTAAAGGGAGAATGGGCAGTCTTATGTAGGAACATTAACCAAGTAACAGTAGGCCTGAAGGAAATGATGGAGCAAGCCAGGCGACATTGGAATGGTCCAGGCCTCAGGGGTAGGTGCAAAGGCCCTGAAGCAGGAGCATGTCTAGTTGAGCAGAATAATTATTGGGGATAAGGAAGATTAGCAGAAGCAGGGATCAGTGGGATAGCCAGGAGCCAGATTGTGAAATCTATAAGGACCTTTGATTCAGTAGTTAGAAATCTACCCATGAAAGGGGAATGATGATAATAACATCTACTCATAAGATTATAGAATCAATTAATTAAATGCATGTGGAATTTCTTTGTAAAACACCATCCAAAAGATAGATTTTTTTCATTAATTATTCTGCACCTACCACGGGCTAACACTTCTGCAAACATAAAGAATAGAAGGTGATTAAGACTTGGTAGCCCTTGCTCACCAGTATGGCACACAGATACATGAACAGTTTTCTGCAGTGTGGTAGGAGCTATAACAGAGCAGCCAAGGCCTCTAAAGCAGGAGAGTCCTTGCAGTTTTATTTCATGGAGTCTGTGAGGATGTATATTAGAAGAAGGTAGACAGATATTTTTAGGGTGGTTTCTGTTTTTCTTTTTATTAAGCCAAAGAGAATGTAGCATTGACTTTCTAACTTAGCAACAGTGATTGTCAAATGGTATTTCTGCTGCTGTGAACACCAGTACAGGGCACTTGTCACAATTGTCTATGGTGTAGCTTACAATCATGGGCAAGAGCTACACATGGTAAGAAATCGTGGTATATACACATTTCAAATGGCTGCTTTAATTCTTTGTCTTCAAAGTTGGTTCAACACGAAGTAATACAACTTTTCTTTATAATGAATGATTTATTTCAATGTTTTGCTAGTTCCTCATCTAAAGCTTTATTAGATGTTCATTTGTGGACTGTATAGCTGATTGAAGCTGAGAGATCTTATTGCTCTTTCAGGCTATGGTTTTACTCTTTAAAACACTCAGCTACTTTGCAGGCTTCCTAGCTCATAACATTTAATGGATACTTCCTGAGTGCCAGGTCCTGTCCTCAGTATTATCTCATTGAATTCTCACAACTCTGTTAAGTAGAAACGACTTTACCTACTCCAGACTTGATAAGACTGATCCAGAGTGAGGTTTACTAATGGTCATGCTCTGGTGTTTAAGAGGTGGCAGAGCTGGGGTGAGAACCAGGCGCTGTGTTTGGTTCCACACACTTTGCTCTTCTGCCTCAGGGATAGGTTGGTGGCCATTGCAGAATGCTTCCTTGCCTGGAGAGATTTGGATGTGATGGTCCTGAGCTTGACTGAAATAAATCTGTACTTTTGTACATTGTGCATTGTGTGTTTCACTGTCCTAGAATACAGCCAGGGAAACTTCCCTTCACATTACCTTCAGGTGCGAGCATAGGTAAATCCTGCCACGGTTCCAGTCTTGGCTTTGCTAATGACAGTGAGCTTGGACAAGTAATTTAATCTGGCTTTTTGGATGTTTCTAATGAGAAAGAAAGGGATTTGATTTGGTCATTTTCTGTATTCTCTACTAGCTCAATAAACTCTGGTTCTGTATCAAGATTAAAGATTGCTACCAGCTTCTTTGTTCAGTCGTCTAGAATTTATTGTTCCAAGGGAAAAAGGAAGTAAGAGGGCTTAAGATGTAGCTCCTTACTATAGCACTTTTTCTGTGTGTCTGAGGCCCTGGGTTAGATTCCCAGCATCACAAAAAATAACAAAAGAACGTGAGGAAGTATGAACATTAAATGATCTCTTGTGCTAATCTTTTTGTTATTTTTATATATCCAAAACTTTATACCAGACTCCTGGCTTTTGCCATTGTAAAGTGTATATGCTGTGTGCCCAATTTTAAGGGCTGGGACTGTTTCCAGAAGACATGTGGTGGTCACAAACAAAAGGGAACACTCAAGGACTAAGCACTACAAATATCTCATAAAAATGCTTCCTCCATGCACTCTTTGGAACAGGTAATTACTGTGGCAACAACAAACTAATTTGAAGTGTTAGCTGTTAATTAAAACATTGCAGAGGTGTATAGATGTCTTTTGGTGTAACCAGAGCCTCCATTCAAACTTCATTAATCACTTTACAGTTAATGTGTTGAGGAAGGTCAAGACAGTTGAGATGCAGTATCCAATTGAGAGGCAGTATCTGTTGGAAGTAAACAAATTCCATTTCTTCAGGTAGAATGCCATTTGCAGAGTCAAGGGACATACCGACTCATGCCTGGCATTGCCTCCGTCATCCCCTTCTTGATGATTAAATGTTAAATTGGTACTGTCATTGCACTGTAAACCAAGCCACACAGCATCTTTATTGCTCGAAATCGAACCCAAACTTCCACGGATGAATTAGCGAGCGTCATAATTAAATCATCAAGCCTCCCCCTTTTAATTCAGTTGGAAATAGAAGACCTTTCTTTTGGAAAAGAGATCAGCTTTCTTGACAAGCTAATTAAGTTGCCAAACTGCCCAGTATGGTATATATATTAGACTATCTGCTAATCATTTCCTTATCGCTGCAGCTGGTCTCAGAAGTCCAGGTGTTGCTTGTTGTTCAAAGTAACAACACTGCTCTTTTTACAACTTTCAAATCCTTGTTTATGCATTCAACTATTTCTCTTCCTATTTCAGTCCTTGGTTAATGATCCCGATACACAGTATTTTAAAAGTTCTGGGAAGAAACTGGTATATTTTCATGGAATAAGGTTACTAAATTCCTTAAATTGCATTTCAAATTAACATAGTCCCAACTTCCCTGTTAGGCATTGAGAAAAGTATAGTGCATGTCTTTATATATCAATTTATTGATATATAAGAGTGTGTGTGTGTGTGTGTGTGTGTGTGTTTCCCAGTTCTTCTCTGTAGGCATTTAGTAACAACCATTTCTAGAAGTCATTCACTCCCAAAACATCAGTGATGCTTAACTCTATAAATTTACTAAAAATCATTAAATTGTACCCTTAAAACAAGTGAATTTTATCCTATATAATAGATTATACCTTAATAAAACTTTATAACTTGACAGAGCAACCAAATATATTTGTCAGAATAGCAAAAAATGATGCTTCCATTTTGGTAATAGTGGAATATAAGTTTTATTTTTATTTTTAAGAAATGAGCAGTTTAGGGGCCTGATAAATTTATTTTTCAATTAAACAAATGAGGACAAGGCATTCCTGAAGTACTTCCTTCTGTTTCCCTCACGTGGTCCCTAGCTGTGCATGTCTTAACACTAGCTGGATGTGTGTGACACCTTCTACAGAGCATATTTTAGTTCTTCCAAACTAATTTGTCTTTTTATGCTTTTATGAGCTTTCAGTTATGATAGTTGTTTATGTAACATGGTTTTGAAATTTAATGCAAGTCAATTTGTTTCTGGATAATGGTCAGAATATGTGGTCCATCCTATGTATGTGTTACAGACCACATTACATTTAAACACAGTAGGGCTTGGTGAATGGTATTTTATTTCACAATTTTTATTCTCTTACTCTTTTTTCATAAATTAAAGTATTCACATTTCTTTTATTTATTTATTTATTTATTTTTGCAGGGCTGGGGATCAAACCCAGTGCCTTGCAGCTGCTACTTAAGCTCTGTACCACTGAGCTACACCGAGGCCCTGTTCATATTTCTTGATTTAAGTTGTAATTATTTTGCTGTATCTGATACTTGGAGCCTACCTTTCTGCTTAAGAAGAGCCACATGCTTGAGCATTATAACTGTGATTCCTTACATGGAATTATATTGTCATCCAAAACTAATTCTACGTGTTTTATGATTATTTTGATGAAATGTGTGGTTTATCTGCATATGTAATTGAAAGAGACACAAGCAAAACTTCTCATTTTACATGCCTCCATTCTGTGCTTAGCATGGAATTGTAGATAACCCCTTCCCCACCCACGCACACATACGATAACAGTCATAAATGATCTGGAGCCAGAAGACCGGGGTTTGAGGTCTAGATCTGTCCCTACTCACTTTGCGCCATTGGGCAAACTGCCTAATTTCTCTTTGCTTCAGTTTTCATCTATAAAAGGAGGATAATAGTACCAGTATTACCTTGGAGGGTTATTTTAAGGTAATGTATAATGAATCACTTTGGTTTTAAACCATTAAGCTCCACAGAAATATAAATGACTAACATGATTAATGTTCTTTGAAAATACCATGTATGTCTCCCATTGCTGCAGAAATGTTTGAATTGACATTTGTGTCCTTAACCATTTTATAGGTCGTTTAGTGATCTCAAGTAACTGTTATTGTTTTTTTCTTTCTATAGAGCATATCATGTTCCAAGTGGGAAAATATTAGCTGTGAAGGTAAGCACTGGGTTTATTTTATGAAATTCTTGATGTTTACTGCTTTCCTTTCTCTTGTTAGCTTGAGTCACAGGTATTGTCAAAGAGGAGATGGAATGGTTTAAGGTTCAGGTGGCCCTGTTGTGACATTCAGGCATGGGGGCGGGGGGAGATGTCTTAAGTACATTGCTCCTTGCATTGTAGCTCTTCTCAAGAGAACATTCTTTCCCTGATCTCTGCCGAGCTGCCTCCCTGTGTTCCTCGTAATGCAGCTCAGAACCTTAGCGCTCATGCATTTCCTTTTCTCCTTATCTGCCACAACTTACAAATCCCCTTATTTAAAAGTTCAAGTTTGCTGATGGACTGTCTTGAATTGTACTATGACTGAGCCCTTTGCAACTTGAAGTCTGAACCCCACAAACCCCTTTTAACACTGTGCTCTTGGATAGCAACCTGGGGAGGCCCTCTGCAGATTTGTCTCTTGGTGCCTCTACATACATATCCTCTGCTTTACTAGTTAATTATTTCCTCTCGGGCCCTCCTTGACTTTAATAATGAAAGCATTTATTTTTTGTGTGACTATTATATGCCAGGCATGATGCTAGATGTTTTATAACTATTACCTTTAATCCTTAAAGCTGAAGAGTAATCCTACCTATTTTAAATTTGAGGAAATTGAGACTCAGAAACCTGAATTGTCCAAGGTCACAGGGTTAGAAGAGGAAGGACTTCTTTCATAAAGAAGTCTGTTTAACTCTAAAGCTCATGTCCCTTACTATACTGGATAGTCTTAAAGTCACTACCCTTGCTCATCCCTCTGTTCTCTATCTGTCCTTTCAAGGGATATTTCCAAAAGGACTTTGTAACCCTTCACAGCGAGAAACTGGTCTCCTTCCCTAACACTTGAATAGTTTATTTTTCTTCATCTTTTCCTGAAGAAACTAAGGATTAGAACAATTAATTTGCAAATGCTTATACCTTTTATAAAGATTAAACTGAAACTAAGGCTTATATCTTCAGATTACTAGCACAGTCCAGAGTTCTTTTTCCATATCACACGTAGTATAGCACCTAGAATGTGTGATGTGGCATCATTAGTCATTTTAATAATTTAAATAGCTTATGGTGAGGAGGTTCAACAGAGCTTCCCTCTTAGAGTATGTTCTTTTGTATTTCAACCAAACTAGGTCCACAGAATTGTAGAACTGAGACCTTGGAGGTCATCTATTGTAAATGTATTGTATTCATCTATTTATAGGAGAAAACTGAGGTCCAAGATTGAAACTCTAGGAGCAGGCTCTATCCCCATCTTCCCCTGAGCTCACCAAGTGCAGATGTTATACCACCCTGGTGCTGGATTTTTTTCTTTCCCTCCTGAGCTCCTTTGCAGTAACAGAACACCAACAACAACTTCAGCACTATTTTCCCACTTATTCAGTTATTTGTTTCATGGATGCTAACAATCTTAGATTGTTGCTGATGGTATACTTAAAGATAGTCACATTTAGGTTTTTTATTCTAAGAGAGAAGAACACTGCTATAAATTGTCCAAAACACTATAATTGTTTTGCCTTACAAGTACATCATCAATTTTTAAATAATTTCATACATTTTAAATCATGTTTAACATAGGATAATGTTAAAATTCTTGTGCATGATTACTTAGTTGGGAATGGCAAGGGACCAGCAGCTGTTTCCGGAAAGAATTAAAGGCAAATTTTTAAAAAGGATATGTTTTACAAAGTAGAGACTTTAATTAAATGAAAATAGTTGGAGTTTACAAATATACTGTTCACTACACCTTAGCTTTAAAATGGGCTTTAGACCAAGGACTATATTAAATTCACTTTGTATTTCTGGATTCTATACAATCACATACTGTGTGTTCAAACTGAGTTGAACGAATGAATAATATAAGAGTAGATATGATATTTTGATTAAACTTTTTATTTAGCCCTGTGCTTTTTTTATTAACTTTATTTTGTATATTTATTTTTTTAATGTGTTGCTGAGGATAGAACCCAGTGCCTCACACATACAAAAGAATGCTCCACCTCTGAGCCAAAATCCCAGCCCCCAGCCCTCTGCTTCTTGATAGATGAGGCAAAAATCATGTAGCTTATATAATAGTCATATTGAAAAAAAAGAAATGTGCCATCTTTTCAAAACAGGTAGTGCTGTTCATTAATTCTTAAGAATTTTTAAATTTCCAAATATTTGAAGACTTTCCATATATCTTTCTGTTATTGATTTTTAATTTCATTCTACTGTGTTCAAAACATACTTTGTATAATTGAAATTAACTTAAATTTATTGAGACTTGTTTTAAGGCTCAAAACATGATCTGTCTTGATAAATGTTCCTTGTGCACAGGAGAAGAATATATTGTCCAAATTATGTAGAAGGTGTTGTATAAATATCAACTAGATCAAGCTGGCTGTCAGTAGTTTTCAGATCTTCTGTATCTTTACTGATTTTTTAAAACTTCTATCATTTTTGAAAGAGAGGCATTAAAATATCTAACAATAATTGTAGCTTTGCCTGTATTTTTTTTATACTTGTATCACTTTTTACTTTATGTATTTTGAAGATATACTATTAGGTATGTATAGGGTTGTTATATGAATTAGTCCCTTTGTCATTATGAAATGACTGTCTTTGTGGAAATATTCTTTGCTCTGAAATTCACATCTGATATTAATATAGCCACTCCAGTGGTATTTTGACTGGCATTAGTGTATTATTTTCAGCTTTCTGTATCTTTACATTTGAAAAGGATTTCTTGTAAGTAGCATATAGTTGGGTCTTTGTAATCCAGTCTGATCTCTGCTTTTTAAGTGGTATGTTGGGGCCATTTCATGTAATTGTTGATATGGTCAGATTCAAAGCTATCATTATGTTCTTTGTTTTCTTTTTCTTTCTTTCTTTTTTTTTTTGTGTGTGTGTGTTTGCCAGCCTCTTCTCTGTTTTTAGATTTTATAGTGTGTGTGTGTTTGCCAGCATCTTCTCTGTTTTTAGATTTTGTAGTATATACATTTTTAACTTCTCATAGTCTCCCTATGTTATAACATTGCAGTACTTTATATACTAAGAATCTTACAGTAGTACATATTCATTTCCCTATCTCTACCATTGTGTTACTATTGTACATTTTACTTCATTCTATGTAATAAATCTCAAAAGGCACTGTTGCTATTTTTGTTTTAGATATTAACCTTTTAGGGACATACCTTTAAAAGTAAGAAAAGATACATTTTATATTTATCCATGTATATACCAATTCCATTGATTTTTTTCAATCTTTTTTGTGGTGTAGATTTCCATCTGATACTCTTTTTTCTTCTATCTATCTGAAGGACTTCTTTTCTTTTAATACTTTTTAGTTGTAGATGGACACAATACCTTTATTTTTTAATTTATTTTTATGTGGTGCTGAGGGTGAAACCCAGGGCCTCACACGTGCCAGGCAAGCATTCTGCCACTGAGCCCCAGCCCTAGCCCAGGACTTCTTCTTTTTTTTTTTTTTTTTTACATTAGTAGTAGTGTAAGTCTCGTAGTGCAATAAATTCTTTCAGCCTTTGTATGTCAGAAAAAGTGTGTATTTTTTTCACTTTTATTTTTGGAAGGTATTTTTATTTTCACTAGATACAGAATTCTGGGTTGACTGTTCTTTTCATTAGGATTTTAAAGATTTAGTTTCACTGTTTGCATTCTTTCTGGAATGCAAATTCTTTTCTGGAAGCTTACTGTTATTTTTAATCTTTGTCCTCCTGTATGTTAGTAATGGCTTCTTCTCTGGCTACTTCTAAGTTTGTTTGTTTGTTTTTACTGCTTTTAAGCAACTTGATTATGTTGAGCTTTGATATAATTTTTTTTTGTTTGTTATTCACATATATGGAATTTGTTGTTATTCTTGGATCTGTGGTTTTTAACTTTCATCAAATGTGGAAATTGTTTAACCATTTTTTCTTCAAGTATCAACCACTGCCTTTGGGAACTTTAATTGCATATGTACAAGGTCACTTAATCTTACCCTACAACAAAATGACACTATATTATTTATTCATGTCATTTTTTTATGTTTAATTTTGCATAGTTTCTAGTCCTGTGTCCTCAAGTTCACTGATTTTTTTCTTCCATTGTCTAATGTAATATTACTCCTGTTCAGTTCATTTTTCATTTCAGATGTTGTCCTTTTCATCCCTAATTTATTTTTTATCCATAATTTAAATAGGGATAATGTCTTTACTTGACATACTTAATTTTTTCTACCTTCTTAAATGTATGGAATATAGTTATGAAAGTAAGTTAATGATCTTTTGTACTAATTCTACCATATATGTTATTTTTGGATAAGTTTTGACTGGTTCCTATATCTCCTCATTTGGGGTTGTATTTCTTACCTTTTTTTTTTTTTTTTTTGTCTTACAATTTTTTATGGTGCCAGTCATGTAGCATAATTGCTCTGTAGTTTTGCATTCCTATAAATATTGTTGACTTTGTTCTGAGATACTATTTAGTGACTTTGAAATAATTTGATTTTTTTTTTTAGACTTGCTTTTGAGCTTTATTAGAGAGGACAGTCCAGTGATCGGTGCAGAACTAACCCAGCACAGGCAGTGTTCTTCTGAATAGTCTACTCAGTGTCTTGGAAATTACAAGAGTTGTACCCTGGCTGGTGGAACATAAACTCTTTCTGCCCTGGGTAGGTCTTCTGCCCAGTATTGCTTCCTCTGACATGCGTGTGACGCTCGTTACCCTGCTGAAGACTCCATCACCCCCTCTGCTGACTTCTGAGCTTTCTCCCTTTAGTCCTTTGCCAGCCAACGCTAGTCGTCTCGGCCTCTGTCTTCTCAACTCAAGAAGATGACTGATCTCTACCTGAGTTCCCCTCCCTGCACTGAGGCCTGCAAACTGACCCTAGTCAGGAAGCTGGACTACCAGAGGGCTCCTCTGACTTGTTATCCCCCTCTCAGTGATCATTGTGTTCTGGAGCATGTTCCGGGTCTGGAGGCCTGTGG